ATTTTTTGAGATGCTTGTTCCAACAACTGATACTGTTCGATATGGCTACCTTATGGAAAAGTTACTTGCTGTCAGGCAGTCTGTACTTTTCACTGGCACAACAGGAGTTGGGAAGGTAACTGCATGTTTTTCATTAATTATTTCTCTGTATAGGTGCTAATGTAATTTATTTTGTATTTCGCATACTGTATATAAAATCATCTAAGTCTTAGTATTTCACACAGATATACTTTAATTCTGTTCACAGTAATTTTTTATGTTATTTAGTAACCTTTTGAAGAGGAGATGAAAGTACTGCTACTGTATAGTAGTCAATCGATAGGATGAGTATTTTGATTATATTTTTTTCATTTTATATTCTGTGAAAATGAAATGCGATTGCTATTTTAAAATCTTATATATGGAATAAAATTCCACAATTTAAAACAATACACATATAACATTTCTGTGCTGAACATCTAGAAAGAGTGGCTATGTGGTTAATTAACAGAAAAATGTATTGCATATGTGTTTTTTTCTAGATAAAGTTAATCTAATACAAACAGATAATATCTGTAGTTGTTCCTATTTGTATTATCAAACGCCTTATGTATAATTCTCTTTTAAATTAAAACTGCTACACTGCCTTGGCAAAACAATGAAGGATTGGTGAATAATAAGATGTAAGTAAATACATCACAGGATTAATGGAAAATTCAAAAACAAATTTACTTGTCATTAAGAAAATCAAAAGAGATTCGGACATCTGGCCTTAAAGAAAATCACAATAATTGCAACATTATTATCGTGTTAAAGGATGTAACAGACCATTTAAGAGTTAGCCAATTAAAAAAAACTTGAATACATCATTTAAACTCGGCAATACAATAGGTATATTCAATGAAAAATGAAAAATTAGAAATTTTGCTCCATGCAGATTAAGGTCTTCTTAAGATTTTTTTCATAACCAAAGTTGACGTGGTCTTTTAATGTGAAGTTTCATTGCTTCTGCAGTCTGTTGTTGCCCGAGGATTACTGAACAGCATTCAAGACAAGGCTGGTTATGTTCCTGTTTACATCAACTTCTCAGCACAGACGTCTTCTGCTAGGACACAGGAAATTATTGAGTCAAAGTTAGAAAAAAAAAGAAAGAATATACTGGGTAAGAGTTCCATCCAACAAAGATCTTCATAACAGTGCTCTTAGGGTGAAGTTGAATTCCTTCGCTTGAAATACAGTAATCAAATTCCAATACAGAAATACAAAAAAGAAAATATTTACAGTATGTTTCTTACTTTTTATACAGAAGCATTGTTCCTATCTCATTGATAAGAAGCTCAATAAAGTATGAAATACTATCTGATACAGTATGATGATTCGAAACTGTTTTGAAAGATGGTTTCTGTGAATGGGATTTTTAGGGGCTCCTGGAAACAAGAAGGTGATTGTATTTGTCGATGACCTCAACATGCCTAAACTTGATCACTACGGTTCTCAACCTCCCATTGAGCTACTCCGACAGTACCAGGACTTCCATGGCTTCTATGACAGAGAAAAATTCTTCTGGAAGGAAATTCAAGTAACTTTTTCTTATTATCACTTGGTTACAATACAAATCTATTTATTTAAATATCTGTAAATAGCTCAGTTATGTTTTAGATACATTATATCCACTCATTTTTAGTACGCAGATATCATCCTAATTAATAGCTCATCAGGATTGAAATGCATTATTCTAGTCCAGAGCTCTCCAACCCTTGTCTTGAAGAGCACCGATCCAGTTAGTTTTTTAGATCAATTGTATTTAAGAGATTGTAAGCTATTGTTGAATCAGCAACTGTTCAAATAAGAAGACTCTTGTCCTTATGGGTTAAAGATTTTTAAGAACATGAAAACATTCATCTGTCTGGTTTGGTTGTTACTAGATGTGCAGCGCTGTTCCTGTAGTGGATAGAAAACCCGTAGAAAACCTGTTAGATTAACAGGTTTTCTGAGTTTCTTTAAAGCAGTGGCATTGAATTTCTCAATTTATGTCAATAATCTGATTTAGCACATTAAAATCTGATTTGGAATGAAAACCTATAAATTCACTAGTCCTTCAGGACCAGGATTGTACAGCCTGAGCTAATTGAGCCAAGGATTTTAATTAGTTTTATATTTTTTTTAAAGAAGCCAGAGTATTGGCTTGCTCTACATGGCTGGGCAGCTTGTTCCAGACCTCCCACAAAGCTTTGTGTAAAGATATTTCTCTTTTTCTTTGAATCTGGGTGAAGTACTGACATCATCTCTGGATAATTTACTGTACCTTTTCAGAATGATACCTTCTAACTGAGAAGTTCAAATTCATCCACATATACTTTTTTGTGACAAGAACATGAGATGATAAGAAAGGATATAAACAAAAGGAGGCAATTTGAACCACCTAGCTCATTTGGTAGTTAATAGCTAACTGATCCAAGAATCTCATCCAGATCTTTCTTGAAAGAAGCCCGGGTATCACCTTCAACAATATCATTTAGAAGCTTCTGTTGCACACTCCCATGATCCTTTCTGTAAAGAGCTCCATGTTCTTAGTTTGAATCGCAACTCTCTGTATTTTCCACAATTTCAACTGTGTCTGTTACGAGTTAGTAGTGAGGACCCTATGCAGAAAACCAGGGCGATTTTCCAGAAGCGTAGTCGATAGAACAATCCAAGGTCCGAAAGCCGAGGGTAGACAAGCCAGTGCAAAAGAACAAAACCAGAAGCGATGCCGTAAGCCGTAAGGAAGCCGAGAGTCGAAACCAAAGCGAGAATCAAAGTACCAAAACCAAAACACCAGGAGACGTAGTCAAAAAACAAACCAGGATCAGGAAGCCAAAAAACCAAGCAGAAAGTAATCAGAAGAATAGGAGTAGCTCTAGCCAGGAAGAACTGTAATACTGAGCACAGGGGAGAATGTGAAGCAGCATTAAATAAGCTGGGGGTAAATTGGCTAATTGGGGACTGGTCTGGAGTGCAAGGTGGAATGCCGAGTCCTCCAGGGGCGTGGCGTAACAGTGTCCTTTAGTTCAAGTTCAGGGTGTATTCTGAAGAAATCCACTAGATTGACATTGTCAGTACCTTTGTGGATTTTGAAGTTGGTGAAATTAAAGTTGGATGATGTAATGGGCTTTGCAATTTTAGCATAATAATAATAATAATTGCTTACACTTATATAGCGCTTTTCTGGACACTCCACTCAAAGCGCTTTACAGGTAATGGGGTCTCCC